CATCATTCCTATCATCATCATCCTCATCATCATCATCATCATCAATCTAACATCATCATCATCATCATCATCATCCCTTTCATCATCATCACCACATTATCCCTAGCATCATCATCATCATCATCATCATCATCCCTATCATCATCAGCAACCAATCATCCATTTCATCATCCTCATGATCATCATTCCTATCATCATCATCATCATCATCATCATCCCTATCATCAGCATCAGCAACCAATCATCCATTTCATCATCCTCATGATCATCATTCCTATCATCATCATCCTCATCATCATCATCATCATCAATCTAACATCATCATCATCATCATCATCATCCCTGTCATCATCATCACCACATTATCCCTAGCATCATCATCATCATCATCATCATTATCATCGTCATCAGCATCAACATCATTCCTATCATCAGCATCATCAGCATCACCAACACATCGTCCCTGTCATCATCATCACCACATTATCCCTAGCATCATCATCATCTTCATCATCATCATCATCCCTATCATCATCATCATCATCCCTATCATCATCAGCAACCAATCATCCATTTCATCATCCTCATGATCATCATTCCTATCATCATCATCATCATCATCATCATCATCATCCCTATCATCAGCATCAGCAACCAATCATCCATTTCATCATCATCATGATCATCATTCCTATCATCATCATCATCATCATCAATCTAACATTACCATCATCATCCCTATCATCATCAGCAACCAATCATCCATTTCATCATCCTCATGATCATCATTCCTATCATCATCATCCTCATCATCATCATCATCATCATCAATCTAACATCATCATCATCATCATCATCATCATCCCTGTCATCATCATCACCACATTATCCCTAGCATCATCATCATCATCATCATCATCATCATTATCATCGTCATCAGCATCAACATCATTCCTATCATCAGCATCATCAGCATCACCACCACATCGTCCCTGTCATCATCATCACCACATTATCCCTAGCATCATCATCATCATCATCATCATCATCATCATCCCTATCATCATCATCATCATCATCCCTATCATCATCAGCAACCAATCATCCATTTCATCATCCTCATGATCATCATTCCTATCATCATCATCATCATCATCATCATCCCTATCATCAGCATCAGCAACCAATCATCCATTTCATCATCATCATGATCATCATTCCTATCATCATCATCATCATCATCAATCTAACATTACCATCATCATCCCTATCATCATCAGCAACCAATCATCCATTTCATCATCCTCATGATCATCATTCCTATCATCATCATCCTCATCATCATCATCATCATCATCAATCTAACATCATCATCATCATCATCATCATCCCTGTCATCATCATCACCACATTATCCCTAGCATCATCATCATCATCATCATCATCATTATCATCGTCATCAGCATCAACATCATTCCTATCATCAGCATCATCAGCATCACCACCACATCGTCCCTGTCATCATCATCACCACATTATCCCTAGCATCATCAGCATCATCATCATCATCATCATCATCATCATCATCATCCCTATCATCATCATCAGCAACCAATCATCCATTTCATCATCCTCCTCCTCCTCATCATCATCGTCATCATCATCATCATCCTCATCATCAATCTAACATCATCATCATCATCATCATCATCATCCTCATCCTTATTATCATCATCATCATCCCTATCATTAATGTCATCATCATCACCATCATCATCATCATCCCTATCATTAATGTCATCATCATCATCATCATCATCATCATCATCCATCAAATAAACAAAAGAACTTTAAATAGATTAACTGAATACTTTTGCTTTTCCACCTCATTGACTGCTAGCATCACTTCACAACACTTCATTCTGCTTTGTGACCAAACAGTCTTCAAATGAGCTTACCCACAGACACAAACTGAACAACTTACATTCTATCAACAATAAAACGTAACTTAATAAATTAAAAAGCACACAGATGTCAGCTGTTTGACTTTAGGCCAGTTTCATTAAGGTGGAAAACCTGATTTAACACTAAAACGCCCCAAACAGGGAGTCAATAGTCCTACAGGGTGAAAAAAATAAACACACACACCTCAAGACAACTAGTGAAAATTGCGTGAGCTATGTTATCTACCACCCTCAGGCTCTAATTATAACTCAGCATGTAGCCTATGCATTTTTAACATTCGGAGCGGGCAGTTCGGCACTGGAGCTTATAAGTGAAGCTGAGCCATCATGATAGTATCGAAAGCTAATCAGGACTGGAGTTGGGCGGTTTATTACAACTTTTAACCAGTGGTTTCTATATAATTTTAAATGGTGTGTGAGTGTACTCTGCAGGAGAAGCTTTTGTTTTATCAAATAAAATTATGAAAAAGACCCTTTAAAAAACAGGATATTACACAATTGCAATTGAAATGTGTGTTTCGTAAAGCAGATGAATACTTCAGAAGGTGCAATTTGCTATGTTTACAAATGTGCACAGGTGTACAGATAAAACAATCTGATGACTTTAGTGTCGTTGAAAAAGCAGAGGGAGTGACATTTGCTATACAGGGCTAGCCTGGCAAACCGTGCCCCACAGACAGAGCTCCGTCGTTGGACAGCGTTAGGACCAATCAGAGCAACAAACAACATGATTTCATAGATGGAAATCATTCAATGAGGCAAATACACTGTAAAAGAAGAACCTGCATGCTCATGTCTAAGAAAAACCCAAGTTCAAATCCTCCAAAGTTGATGCCAAAGTCGTTTTAAGCTAGCGCTATTCCTGAGTCAGAACCATTTTTTTTTTTTTTTTTTGCTCCATCATAGCTCTGTCGTAATTGCCCTAATGGTGCTAAACCAGTGTCTCTACAAACACAGAGTGTCTTGATTGGCATGATCTAAACTTAGCCGAGCCAAAGGTAGACCTGCTGAGGCTACAATGGAGTGTGGCTACACCAATCTGTAGATAAGAATATTTAGCTAATGCTAAGATTGGGCTAGATTGCTAAGCTAAAACAGGGCAGCGACATCATTTATCAAATCTTGCAACATTAAAATCACTAGAAAATACATTCAAATGTCTCTTTGCAAAATTCATCATCAACTGAAATTATTATTTTAGGTCAAAACATGGTAAATATTTTCTGGATAGCCTATGGTTCACAGCTTGTGAGCTATTGTGTCAGAGAAACACCTGTACAGCTGAGTAACAATAATCTGTACCCTACAGCCAAAATGTCAATATGCAGGTTTTTTTCTACATTAAATAAAAACAAATAAAATACTGATATATTTGGTTGCTTCAGGGGAAGAAACTTTACAAAGATGGCATATTTGACAGTATCTTCCTTATATTTTGAGACTGTATTTTTTCGCTGTTTCAGCTTTAGAGAAGTTATTTGTGAAAGGAGCATGAATAAATAAAAAACCAAACACAAATTCCCAAGTTTAAGATTTTCAGGAAGCCTCACAAACCTGCAATAGGTTTACAGAAGAATGGGTGTTGTATTTTCAGTGGACAAGCTTTATGATAAACTGACCACATCAACCTATAAGACTCGGGCGCCCCTGAGTTCTAAACACATAACCTTGTTAAACAGGCCCTCGACTAGGCCTGGCTGACCGAAACCCATCTCTGAAACCTTGTTATTACTGCTCTGATGCACAGTCCAGCTCGCTCAGGCTACATTCTGCAGCTAAATGATGTCGCATGACAATCCTGATGATTAGAAACCTTTCTTTTTTAAATATGAGTGTGGATCTGTGTTCCTGATCTCTGCCGCTCAGATGGAAACATAATGCAATTTGCCACCTGTTACAAGTGCTGTGGCTTTATGAAAGCACCGCTTTGCTTCCTCCTGTCATTTGTCTGACAGGACAGAGGTCATCCTCTGATGCTTGAGTCAAGGTAGACAGGATACTCATTTCATATAAAATGGAGGAATTAAAACCTGATGGCAAATCGGCACAGGGTTTAAATGCTGAGGTCAGTAAAGTTAAAAATACAGACTTAATTAATGAACACTGGAGTTCACAAAGTTTCAGTGACCCTACCAAAAGGAAATTGCATTTTAAATTTAAAGCTAAAACAATGAAAAGAAATAAGAAAATCTAAAACGTGTGTAAGCTAGTTTAGGTTCTAGTGCAGGGTTCTGCAAGAGAGCAAATCTTTGATACAGAGCCACAACATTTACTGGATGCAGACCCAAAAAATATTGGTTGCATAAAATTTGAATTTTTGTTGTTGTTTATTCTCTCTCTCCGTCACATACACTCACTGGCCACTTTATGTTTATTTATTTGGCAGACCAAAGAGACTCTGAATGCACAACACGTCGAACCTTGAAGCAGATGGGCGACGGCAGAAGACCACACCGGGTACCACTCCTGTCAGCTAAGAACAGGAAACTGAGGCTACAGTTCGCACAGGCTCATCAAAATTGTGCAATACAAGATTGGAAACCAATCTGCTGCAGTTGTGTGATGTTATCATGCCATAGAACAAAATCTCTGAGGACTGTTTCCAGTACCTTGTTGAATCTATGCCAAGGTGTACCCAATAATGTGGCCAGTGAGTGTGTATGCCATCCTGTGCACAAGAGTCTAATCCAGTTTTTGTGTTTTCATACCACACACACACGCGTGCACGCGTGTGTGTTTGGAATGAAAGCTTTTATTATTATCACTTATTTAATATTAACAAGCCTCAAATTGACAGAACATTATGAGTGACATGTAGACACATGATGTGCTCTTTGGGGTATCAAGCTCTTTAACTTTTTCTTCTTTCTGAGTCGTAATTGCAACAAAATACCCAGAAATTTATGAATTAAAAAAAACGAACACTTCCCCTTTAGATCACACGTTTTAGCGTTGCAGTAACTGATTGGGTACAATAGCTGTCAATCATGACTTTCTCATTTGCCATTGGTTAATTCTGTTTAAGAGGCGGGGCAAGATTGTGCAACCCAGGAAAACAAATAATCCGCATTTTAGCTGGGAAGGCAGCTTGCTTTCGATATTAACGTGCAGAGAAATGGGTAAATATGCATTTTATACGTTACACAGAACACAAAAACATGCATACGTGTTTCCAGCATTGTGTTAATGTTGCAGTTATCCATAATGCGTCTCCGTTCGTTGTGTTTTATTATTGGTAGACCTCGCGCTGCTCCACTCACCTCCAAGTATTGAGAGGTTATCTGTGTTTTCCGCCTCTATGCTGCATTTAACGTCCCAACAAATGCTGAAATCCTGACTCTGCGTTTATTACGTGTACCACACAGTCTAATCGATATGAATAAGCATTAATTTTGTGCGTTAAGGTATAAATATTGAAACTTTTATTAGGACCATTGTCTCCATGACGAGTGTGTCCTGCTCCCAATCATAAAATTCCCATTATTCCCTGAAATAATCAGGCCTGGAGATTAAAGCCGTCTGCACTGTGTTTCAAGGCAAAGTTGATCTTATTGATTTTCAGGAAACTACTCACTGATTTCTCTAAACCTACACACCACCCCTCTGGTCTCATCTGTGTTGGTTCTCTCTCTCTTTCAGTGTTGGCTGTATGCTCCTAAACTCTGCCAAAACCAAATCCCCACCACGATTATCACATAATGCTCTTGAATTATTATCAAATAGGACGGATTAGGTTTTAATGTTAACCGATTGGCAGAAGAAACTAAATAAAGTACATAACTTGGCTGTGAGATATTTATGTTCCTGATTGTAGATCTGAAGGTTTTGGTTGATAAAGATTGTTTTTTTTAATTGTATGGTTGTTTCATAATCCTTGTTTAATCTGGGTATTTTATTTGTTTGTGTGTGACTGCAGCCACAAGGGCATTTTTTAACATTTCCAGATAAAATAAAGCGATAGTGGCATTAAAACTGTTCTAGGAAAATAGTCTTTTTTTTAATTGAATTTGTATCATAAAAAAGGACACAGGTTTACAGTATGATAAGGTACACTGAGACCTGTTGAAACTAAACTTGGCCAATTACAATTTATCTCAAAAGTATAAACTATATGTTTTCCTCATCTGCTGTGACTGGTGTGAATTAGAATCCTGGAAAACCATCCTATATATGAATGAGTCTAGACACGGCCCATTGGAAAAGGTCAGTCCCGAGGCAGAATCTACCATCGTCTTTCAAACTGTCTCCACATGTTATTGGACGTTGAACATGGCTTACTCACCACTACGGATATCGTTCTGCTCTATCTGCTCAAGAAAAGCCCAAGTCCAAAGTTTCAAATGAGCCAACACCATCTTACCCCGGGTTTCCACGGGAGCCGTCAGCAGCACGTTACTGCAGCAGCACGTCTTGCTCGCGTAAGCTGCTGCTTGGCCCTTCCCACGAGACGCGAAGCAGCAGGGGAGCAGCTGTCACCGACCGAGCACGAAGTCACACGAGTGACTTCGTCAGTAAACACAACAACAAGCAGGAGAAAACTACAACATGGTTTGTGTTTTATGTTCTTTCCGTTTTATAATCGCCAATACGGACCTGAAAAACAAAGGAGGCCGCTAGCTAGGTGATAACTTCTCACGGGGACGCACAGTTAGTAACCATTTTTAAAAGTAAAGCAACCAGAAAGCAGTACGTTCTTTATTCTGAAAATCTCAGTAGCTTCTCTCCATTTCCGCGTCCAATTTCCTGTCTTTCCTTCCCCAAAAATGTCGAACTTGACCCGTTTCAGAGGTGTTGCGCGTAGAAAATAGAACCGGCGCGTTAAGGCCGCGACATGCTGCTCCTGAGACGTGGCCGACTCGCGCTGCTGACGGCTCCAGTGGAAAAGGTTCTGTTGACCACAGCGGTTCCTATCAGCAGCTATGACGTGCTGCTGCAGTAACGTGCTGCTGACGGCTCCTGTGGAAAGCCAGGGTTAGTTGTTTTGCTCCGTCGCAACATCCCACCCACCAAAGCAATAGAGCAGTGTGATTGGCACGCCACCAAACTGCCCTGACCAGTCTTTGTATTTGTTTAGGTGTTGTTTTGGTGGGTGTAACATCTTTACACCATGCACTCCCCTCCTGTCCAAAAATATCGCTGCAAATTAATTTAAAGTTCAATTCTGGAGTTTGACCCATTTCATGATTTATGTAGAATTCTTTGAAATCCATGAAAGTGATTATCTTAACATGTACTGTGATATAATGTAGGTAATACGACTTTTTTGTTTGTTTTTTGACCAAGCCTATCCTCCGTCCTGTAGAGCCCCATGTGTTTTCAACTGAGCGGCGTTCTGCATTAACCAATATTGTTAAACGACCGCTAGATGTCAATCACAGAGTGTGCATGAGCGTTTGAGGACGTACCTAGACTTATGCAGAGTTGGCGACCTTTCTTGTGAACAAGTGAGACTTTCGTGAGCAGTTTCCTGCTCCTCCACCCTGCTGGTTAAAAGTGGAATTACAACTATTTAAACAAACCCTGCTGTAGCTAGCGCTAACAATGAGCCAACACTAACATGAGCCAACTAATACTAAAATAAACAATGAAGTAAAAAGATCCACAGTTATGGACCAAATATATTGCGTACAAGTCCAGTAGCAACAAAGCCAGGTCACCATCAGTCTGTGATTTTGTAGTCTCCTTTAGCTTCCTCAAACTAGTGCAGTCCTCGTCGATGTTCACTCTGGTTTTAGTTCTTTGCTTCGCCTCCAAAGACGTTGCATTCTGTCTTTTACTTCCAGGCTCCACTATGATGCCAACAAAAAAAGCAAACTTATTTTTTTCTTGTGCTTTATGTTGACGATTGTCGAACAAAAAGTGCTAACTGCTAGCATTAAAGTTAACATTTGTAAAGCGGGTAAAAAGCAACACCTTGGACACCTGCCCGCTCCACAAAACTGTCAAGTGCAGTTTTTGGTCAGCAGAGTGGTGTCAGATATGAAACTGGTCAAGTTTCTAACTCAACAATCACTGAGATCAATGTTAAAGCTCTAGCTTAAAGTTTAAAACACTTTTTAGTGTTACTTTAAGTCAGAGAGGAAACATTTTTAAGTGCATTTAAGAAAGTACTTTACTGGGATAGTAGGTGTCATTTGATTGCTAATGTTATGTCATTTTGGTACTGTTTTACATCATATTTCAGTTCAAATTTCAGACATTTATGTTGAGAAATTAAATGTAACAAACATACACTCGTTTATTATTACTTTGACAGCCATGTTATTTTGAATGAAACATAATTTAAATAAATTTCCTGTAACTTCAGTTTATCGGAATCGTGCATGTCACCTGAAAGCTATTTATCTGTTCAACAAAAATCGTCACTTAAAATGTCCAATTTGAGTTGAATAATGAAACGTATCTTAAAACGTTTAACTGACAAACTTGCATTTTTTATCCTGCTGTAGCCTTTAAATCTGCTAGGGACTAGACAAAAGCAGCCTTCTGGTAGTCTAGACATTTGTTTACCCCTAAACAAAAGTAAATCACTGAAAATATGTTTGTTCTTCATCGTTCCTAAGCTTTTCATGCTTAAGGACAAATTTGGAAGAAATTACGCTGGTCAGATGTTCCGTGGAATGACATGTTATTTGCATGAATTGTTCCGATTGAATCTGAACGACACAAATCCAGTTCTGGCGTTTATTAGCTACAATGCTTTTTCCTCCACATTCATTGTGCTTTGCTTCTCTTTAATGTTTCATGACTTTTTAAGTTGCTTTCTGCAAACTCTTTCACTTACTACTCATACGGTTTTAGCATACTCAACCTTCGTACTCATGAAATCAATTAATTCTTTTAAATAATTTACCTCCTGCCCAAACCAAATAAGGAGAGCACATTTTTGTGTGTCGGTGTATGCTTCTGACTGATGTGGTTTTTGTGTGTGTGTGTGTGTGTTCAGGCATTAACTTGGCTTTCGCCCCATGGCTCCGAGGAGTCGAGCGTGATTAGAGAAAGGGGAGCCTTGATAAAGCATTAGTGTGTGATGCACACACAGCCAGAAGACCCCCCTTTGCATCTGCACACATTCATTTTTCATGAAACAGACTCATAACAATTAGTCTGGTTACCGCCTGGGTGATCTTAGCGTCCGTGTAATTCCCCTTGCCTGCTGTATGACATCACTCCCTTAAAAGTTTTAAATCAGACGTCCTCATCCTTTTTCATAGTGAGGACATTAGCAGGCCTCGACTAATAGGCTTTACTTGTTCTTGGCGAAAGAAGGACAATAAAAAGAGTGAGTTCAAGAAAAAGAAATGTAGTGTTCTCCCTAGCTCCTACACAAATGAATGTACTCGAACCAGAGAAGAAGCGTACAGCTGCGATTCAGCGTGCTTTGGCGATGCGTAGCTTATTTCGATCTTCGAGCATCATGAAAAGCCAAGTGAACATTTCAGTACAATTTTGGCCATGAATTATGCTAACAACCATAGATAAGTGCTTAGTAATTTAAGCATTACAATACATAAGAAGCTGAACTAAGACTGTTGGATTCATTGTGTCCAGAGGCGTGGAATAATGGCCCTGCAAGTGGCTTCGTAGCATTTCTGCTGCAGAAAAAACAAAATGCAGTTCCCCTGAGATGCTCCATCTCAAACTACCCCCACCCCCTTCACCACCACCCTGTCTCCCGTCCCCTGCCCTAAACACCCTGCTCTCCTCCCTAGACACCAAAGCCAAGGTCAAGAAAAAACTGCGGTCTTCATCCGTCTATAGGCTATTCCCTGGATGCCCGCACCTCAGCGTGGCCGAGGTGTGTGTGTGCGCTTCAGGAATGTTCACTCCTCCTTTGTTGTGACCATCAGTCTCAAGGTCAGCTCCCAGGGAGGGGTTTGAGCTTATCTGTGTTTCCCCTCCCCTTTTTTTCACCTTAGTTATCTTTCCAGCCTTTTTCTTTTTTGCCTCACTGTATCACTAAATGATAACTCGGAGCTCCCAGCTGGCGGTTTCATGACGCGTTGTCTGACGTGTCTGCCTCTTTGTCTGTCTGCCTGTCTGTCTTTCTGCAGGCTAGCTGCCATAACAGCCCATTGTCTAGCTTTCAGAGGACCCATTTCTGCTCCGAGGCTTTAGG